GCTGGGCTGCCTGTCATGCATCCTGCGTGTGCTGGGGGAGCAGAAGAGGGATTGATGTAATCGAATTGAGATGCCTTTCGTGTTCCCAAAAGCGGGGTAATGGGCAGGAGCCTGGAGTGCATCAGTCAGCCCTGAGTCACGGCCGGGCCCGCATTGCTGAGAGAGGAGGGCTCCTGGCACAGGTGGAGAGAAGACAACCCAGGGGACCTCGCTACACGTCTGTGAGTCAGCGTTGATAAGGCAGGTTTTCCTCCTGCTGTCAGAGCTGATCCCTGTCGGATTGCGGCGGAGACGTGCCACCACCAAGATCGTAATCTGTTCAGTCTATTAAAAAAAAGGAAGGAAGAAATAAAAGCTGGGAAATGAGGAATTGTTTGGCAAAGGAGGGAATCGGGAAAGGATCCGACCAGCGCCGTGATTCAGGCAGGAGTGTGCTCACTGTCAGACCTACAGGCAGCGGAGCAGGTGGCGGTGTCGTCGGCGTCGTGCCGGGGAGGGTAGGACGCGTTGACGGGTGATGACTGACAGCGCTGGAATGTGTTACAGCGAGAAGAGTTGCCGGGGCTGCCGGGTGGATCGCCTGGGCGTCGGGGAGCGTGGCGGTGCTGGAGGTTTGGCTGCCTTCGGCACCGTACCGCCGTAAATCCCGTTTTGCCATTTCGCGATCCCGGCGGGTGGCCCAGCCCCGTGTCCCCGTCCTACGGCAGCCTGCGAGAGCGCGGGCAGCTTCGCAAAAGCTAAGCTTCCCCAGCTCAGGGCGGTGCGGGAGCCGTGGTGTGAAGGGGGGTGATGCCAGGGAGGAGGGAAACCCCACAACCTGCCTGGTTTCCCTTCTTCGCATTCCAAGGGGTGTCTCACTTAACGAGGGTTATATGAGCAGCAAATAAAGGATCTGCCTCTCGGCTGCATCAGCGCCGCTCCCAAGAACCAGCAGGTTCTTATCTCACCCTCCTTCCCCTTTTTTTTTATCTTTCTCATGCTTTATTTCAGTTCCTTATTTTAAAACGCCGGCACCAGAGCAGCTTCGAAGCATCACCTCCATTTTAGGGAGACGTAAGTCCTCCCCCCAGCACCGGTGAATCGTAGACCTGCAAAGACTCGCTCGCTACCCGGTGCTGGGAGCCCTGCAAGCCGGTGACTAAGCCGAACGTCTGGGATACCGGAGCCGGCTGCCAGATTCGGGGGAGCGGTGGATTGCGGAGGGGAGAAGGACTGCCGGAGCTGAGTCAGCCCTCCAGCCAGGATGAGAGCTGGGTTGTTGAGTTTGCCTGCAACCGGGCTGCGCGCCCACGCTGCTTCTCTGCTTGGACATCTGTTCTGGAGGTGGGGGGCAGGCTTCCCCCCCCACCCAAAGCTCTGGGATGCTCTGGGAATCCATCCCCGCCGTGGTGCTGGGGAGGGCCAGGTTCTGCCTGTGTTCTTGCTGCCTTTTGGAAACTGGGGGCTCCCGGACCCAAGGGGAACCGGAGGGCCCTTCAGCGTGTCGTTGAAACCGGATTTTGCTTAGGGAGGCAGCCCGTTTCACCCTGTGCCCCAATCAGATGGGAAGCAGGATTGCTCCGTCTGTTATCTGTGTTGCTCTGCGTGTTTAGGATGCCTTCATCTCATCCAGAGCATCTCCCTCTTCCTTACCCTCCTCCTCCATGACCTCACCCCGCAGGCATCCTTCCGAGATGCACCGGGCTCCCTCCTTCTCCCTCGTTTAATATTATTCTTCTTCAATCTGGTGTGGTACTCCCCATCTCGCCTGCAAAGCACAAAGCCGCTCTTTCTCCCATTCATTCGCCCGAACCGGGGTTAGCATTTCAATTGACAATTGTGCCATTGATTTGCGCGCTGACGGTGGGGTTTGCAGTAAATGCCAGGCGAAGGGACTCGGCGGAGGGGTTAGCCGGGCTCTGGAAATGAGCCCAGTGTCTTCCCAAGCCCCGGACTCGATTTCGGAGGGAGGTTTGGTGGCAGGGTCGTGCCTTCCCCCTTCCAGGGGGAGCAAGCCTTTCTTTGCAGTGTCAAAAGCAGCCCTGGGGCTTGCTGGGAGAGGTGCATCACCTCCTTCGGGGACATTATGTGCCCTCTGCATCATCCCCTGGCTCTGGAAAGCCATTTATACTGGTGCAGGGTTGCTCCCCCTGATCCTTCTGGATGAGGATCCCAGCACCCGCTTACGGAAACACCTTTAAAAGGCTCTCTTCCAGATCGAGTTAAATCAGCGCCGGAGCCGCAAACACGCTTCTAGGTCCTGGCTAGCAGAGCTGTTTACTCTCAGCTTAGTGATTCAGTGCCGTCCCCGGGGAGCAGTAGGATAAATAATACATTGGCGCCAACCAAATTATTGTTTTGGGCTGGTTTGTTGCTGGCTGTTTGCAGAGAAGTGTGTCCTTGCAGGTTGGCACGGCTCTCTCTCGGAGCTGAGCTTGAGGAAGAGGCAGTGTTGTGCGAAACCCTCGAAATGAAACCAAAGGCAAGAGGAGCGCAGGGGTGTGAAAGGGGGAGGTGGAGGAAGAGGAGTGGGGAATGGCTGCCGGTATAAATTTTCCTGGACCAGCAGCTAATTTAGGGGCTGGGCTGGAGGTTTGAAGCCAAGAGTAAAGTCTACTGAAGTCCGGCGTGGTGGTGATGGGCTGCGCTGGCAGCAGATGGGGGGAGAAGGGCTTTTGGGGCTGCCGGGTGCGTGGGCTGTTGCCTGCCCGCTCCTCAATTTGGGCCAAGAGTGGTATTTTGAGGACTGCTGGGAAGACAGGTGGTAAAAAGGGGATTAGTCCTCTCCTCCTCGGCAAGCGTAGACTGAGTCTGTGGTTGATGGGATTGCTCGGGCTAGCTGGCGTGCCCGGCTGGCTTCGCGCTTGTCGGGCTACTTAGGCAAATGAATTGCGCAGTCACTCTGAAAAGACTCGATGCCAGCTTCTCCAGCAGGCAAAGCACATGCTCGGGAGTTTCTCCGAGGAGTCCTCGGGCAGAGGAGAAGACGGTAGGGCTGGGGAGGGGGAGAGGGAGCGGGCAGGGAACTGTCATCCAGCCGGGCTTGCCCAGTTGCAGGGTCCCAACTGCTGAATCCCCCCACCCGGCTGCCGTGCGGCCCAGTGGCTTCCATCCCCTGCCCGGAGGTGTTGCCTTAGCGAGAAGCTGTACCGTGGCACACCTCCACCCTCGCTCTTCAGGGCTGAAGTGCCCTTGTGAAACAGGCAGCCCGTGGGTCTGGCAGGGTTTCCCATCACGAGGTGGTGGCTGGCAGCATCCCCCCCCCCCCCCAGTTAGCCGTGCCGGTGATGGGAAAACCTGGCTGGCTGGGGGCCGTTTAACCCCGTAGGTCTTAGAGGCCCCAAGGGGGTGCGACCAGTGGAGGAAAAAAAAAAGCCACAAATCAAGAAGGCATTCAGTAGCCCCAGTGACCTCTAATAAGTCCTTTTTACTTTCGGCTCTGCGGAGCCTTGGCGGGACCCCTGCGCAGCGTGCTCCGGGCAGAGGGGGAGCGCCGGGCTGTGCAAAGATTGTCCTTTGCCTGTCCTGCCAAGTGCCCCTATAAATAGAGAGGGACACGTGCCACTGATTAATTGCTTGTCTGTGCAGGCAGCCAGCTCCTGAGGCAGACGCAGCCTTTGTCTGCTGGGAGCAGCAGCACTTGCCAGGAGAGAGGCCCTCTCTTCTTTGGAAAAAGGGAGAAGCGGGAGAGAGGAAAATCACGCTAAGCAGAGGTCAGTCCCAGTCAGAGGAGATATTATTATTTTTTTTTTTTCCCCTTGGAGGAGCAGTCTCTCTCCTGTTATTGCTGCAAATTGTGGTAGGGGACAGGGTGGTCTACATGTGGCACGTGTGTTGCACCCTGCCGCGGAGCTGGGCCCCGGCACGGTTGCTCAAAGCTGCCCAGATGTGGCTGCACCATCCCGGCGAGGGATGCAGGACCCGTGGACCCCACGGAAGGATGGCAAAAATCCCAGGGGATGAGGCTCACAACTGCGCTGCGGTACAGGACCGGCCTCCCACACCTGAGCTGGCGACGCAGAAGGGAAGGGAGGATGTTTTTAGGAAAGAGGAGCTGGAAAAGCCAGAAGGTGAAAGAGGAAGGAAAGAGAGGGGAGGACAGGCAGTTCTTCCGCCCAGCTGGGCCTGGGAAGCTTCCTGTCTGCAGCAACCGGTTGTGACACGGGTCCTAGGTCTTGCAGCTCACTTCTTGTTCACGTTTGGGGTGTGGAGCCCGTGAGTTGTGGCTTTACGCGCATCCTGCCCCTGCCGTGTCTGGGCTCTGGCCTGGGGGCTCCAAACCTTCTCCGTCCCTCCTGGCTCTTGGAGGGAGGATGCTGACAGCGCAGCTGGAGACTGGCGAGGAGAGGTGGGCTGCTGGGCTCTGCCCGGTAGGAGATGATCTACCTCGTGGGCAGGGGGAGGTTGTCCCCCAGCTGCAAGGCAGTGCAGCAGCTCCTCTCCCGTTGAGCTGGATGAGAACTCACAGCTCCGATTAAGCATATGCAGGGGCACAAAAAAGCCGCAGGCGTGCCAGATGCAAGAGGGCGCAGGAGCCAAATCTACGAGGCGGTTGTCAGAGGGTGGTCAGAGAGGGGAGGGAACCCCTCATCTCGCCCAGGAGGCTGACGGCCATGGGAGCAGGAGGGAAGGCAGCGCTCACCTGGCTGCTGCAGAGCCAGTTTTAAGTCACATTGACCTTCTCCTGTCCTACAAGAGCTCCTACAGCGAAGTTTCCCTTCCTTCTCCTCCATCACCAGCCCTGCAGGGGCCAGGCGGGGCCTCTCCATTGTGCAGCTCTCCTGTCCCCTGGGGCCAAGGGGACAATAGCTCAGCCCCGAGCCTGGGAGCTGCCTTTCCCTGCCTGCCTGGCACTGGACCAGTCGTCCCAGAAGGGGGGCCCCCAGCCCCTTGTCCTTGTTTTTCTCATCACTCTCACGGAGGACATGGGAAAGGGAGTCGATCAGCCTGAGCTGGCTGCGGGTGCTCTTCGCCGTCAGCTGCGGTTCCCCTGATGAGTGTCTCCTCTGCGTTGTTCCCAGGTGCAAAAGAGTACGTGTTTCCCAGGAGCGAGAAGTACCCGGTCTTCTATCATAAAGAAAACAGCTCAGCCGTCTACATCGGGGGAGAGGGAAAGCTTTATTACTATGACTTTGCAACCTATGAGAACTACACGGTAAGGACGTTCTGTTAGCAGTTTTGGCTCCTATAAGAAGGTGTCCAGCATCTGTCTTACAGCCCAAAGGCTTGGTACCCTGTCTTTGCCAGCAGCAAAGTCAGGCCTGGAAGGATCTGGTCTCTGCCCAGCCTGTCCCATCCAGCAGG